GAATAGGAAGATAGAAGTAAACAACACCAAATGAAAATTTAAACTAATAATATTATTAAAAAGCCATGTGTATCGTATAAATTATTACAATGGAAATATACTACTTATAAACTACTTTCAATATGTTTACTTTATTCATCTTCTGAACGACATCATCAACACAAACTTCATATTTCATCCACCTACTCTTATTTAATATATGAATATAAGAATAGTAGTTTTGTTTTGGTTATTTGTCACTGGAATTGATTGAGATATAAATAGTATGTAAGAATATAGGAAAAAAACAATTAGTTTCTAATTATAATTTCATTAAAGATGTATAGGTGAATGGATTGTTCATTGCTTAACTTTAGGCACAGTTCCAGCTTATACAATTATAAATGATCTTAGCATATATGTAACACATATGTCAGGAATCAATAGATAAGTGGGAAAAAAAATTGATGGTGTTTGAAGTGAACGATACCGGATTCGAGCCTTGGATTGAAGATCAACTCTGTGATGTAGATATATATTCAGTTGACGAGTCTCAAATGGGACGAAACATATGTTCTGGATTCCATTGTTAACGACTATCCATCTTTGTTTAGAATGCTTGTGAATTGAGACAATATTGAGGCATTACTCACAATATGAACATATGCTTATAAGAGAGACAGATTGATCAGTCGCAGTCCTAAATAAGAATCGGTAGATACAAGTAAACAACACCAAGTGAATTCACGTAATACTTAGTTTAGTTTCCAAAATGATGTAATAAATAAAGAAATAATCAAAAACAGCATATACATATGTTTGGTCAATCGTATACTACTACTTATTGAAATAAGGAGTATATAAATCTATGGGTGTATTTTTTAAAATATTCTGCAGATTTTATTTAGACATTAACACCATTGGATGCTGGTTCAGTGGTTTAGGGGTTAAGCGTTCACGTGTAAGATCGAAGATCCTGAGTTCGAGTCCTGCATACGGGATCGTAGGTGCACACAGTTGAGGAGTCCCGTACTGGGACGAAACGACCGTCCAGGGATTCTAGGTTTCTATGGTGGTTTAAAATCAATCCATTCATGACATCAATCTTCCCTGTTTTTTATCTGTGATTAAATGAATTTAGAATAAGTACTTAGTTTCACAGTCTTCATAGAGATATTGTTCAGTTAAAAGGTTCCTATTGTAATAGAGTATGTTAATTATGTTATAAAATCTATGAACTATGTAGAAACTATTCTATTAAATGTAAGCAATTTTGGATAGTGGCTAGCAGTGGAATCCAGGACGTACATTTTGTCCTATTTGAGACGCGTCAGCTGAATGTACCTGCATCTCAGAGTTGATGTTCACTTTGGGACTCGGATCCAGTACCATTCGCTTCAAACGCCATCGCGTTATCCACTTAGCTACTGAGTCCACTGCTAGTCACTATCCATGATTGCTTACAAAAAATGCTTGTTAATTAAGACAATATCAAGGCATACGCACAGTATGCACATATGCCGATAACAGACTGATCAATTGCAGTCTTAAACCTCAATGGGAAGATACAAGCCAAATAATACCAAGTGTATTCTATTAAATGTTTGGTAAAGAATCATTTAAAGTATAATACCATCATGGATAGGGTGCTCACTCTTGACATGAATGAATTTCACTGGTTATGACTTATCAATTCAACTTAGAAAATACCTCACGAATTTAATAACTAATATGCCAGTGATGATACATTAAATAAAGTTAATTACCTATTTGAGAAGTTTGAGGGTTTTAGGTTGCATTCTTGTAAGAGCTGTGATTGTAAACTACTGAGTAGTTGTATATCTGAATTAAACATCAATCTTATGTTTACCGGTCTTCATTAATTATATAGCTTAATTGAGAAAAGAAAGAGTTAGATGTCCGTTGAGTGATACAGATGTTGAGCGTTTGTGCCTGAGACCGAAGATACTAGGTTCGAGTCCCACGTGCGGGACAGTGGATGGAGGAGTTTCATACTGGAACGAAACGGCCGTCCAATGCATCTGAGATTTCAATGGTGATCTGGTATCGATCGATTCATGATCTCAATCAAAAAAAGAAAAACGTACAGTTAAACTTCTATAAAGATAATCTTATCAAAAATTGGATTACACATTTAATTCAATACAAAACTTATCTCTGTTATATCTTGTAACCTTGTCTCCTATCAATATATAACTTAATGATACCACCAATAAAAGAACAATGATTTATCGACCGCATTATTGACATATAAACTCATACGAGCAGTTTAAAGCCTTTATCAGTCCTGCTTCCTGCCTATCCCTGCCTGTTAAGTTCAGAACACCAATCTCAGTCTCCGCGATACGAATCATGTATTTCAAACATACCGAGTTTATATACAAATCAAACAGACTACATCACACTGCAGAATAGGGAATAATATTCGTACAAGGTCTAGCCGAAAATGTCTGTGATTGTGGGAGACTATCATTAATAGACTAATAGATCTTGGGTTCGAATCTTGCTACATGGCTTCATGAATGCGCACTACTGAGGAGGAGTCCCACAATAGGACGAACCGGTTGTTCAATGCTTCCAAGTTTTCCATGATGGTCTAGTTTCAATCGACTCATGAACTGAACTATCGAAAATTTTATTTGTTTAAAGTTGTTATGGTAGTTCATTTATACAAATAATTGCAGAAATCGCCTATAGCTCTTATAGGGTTACTGCCGGTCCCAATCCTGGGTAAAGGAGGAGGGTTGGGCATGGGGTTAGCCTCCTCATCCCGTAGAAAACTAACTCGCTAAAAAAAACACTTACCAGAAAAATAATCCAAACCATTGTCATGGCAATTCATTTATACAAATAATTGCAGAAATCGGCATTTCATTTAGTTGTAACCAGTATAAATCAAACTATAAATTTAAACAAAAAAAAAGAGTAAACAATGAAAAAAAGAAGAATAACAATGAAGAAATCAGTAAGGATTCCTGTAGCGTATTCTACTTTGAATTTCGCTCAAAACAACTTTTATTTCAAAGGAGAAAATCACATGGATCTTTTTGTGGATCCAAATAAACAATCATTTTGTTGATGGATTGTCATGTAAACAAGATTACTAAATATAGTACAGATTTAATTGTAACATGATTAACTAATTACTGGACAAATACAGATATAATTTCAATGGTTGAGAACATGAGTCAATTCAAGGTAGACAACCATAAAAAACTGAAAGCACTGAATGGCCATTTCGTCTTATTGTGGGACTTCTCCTTGTCAGTACGCATCCACGACCTTGCCTCGTGAGATTCAAAACCAGAATCTATCAGTTTCATTCATGAGCGCTTTACCACAAAACATTGAGCCAGCCGGCAACTATTCCACGCGATTAAGTGACACATTCACCATTGTCTTCAATGAGTTACTATCTAAAAGCAGACACGGTTGAACTCCACTGGTGACTGCTTCTCACTAGAACTCCAGGAAATATCTCTTGAAGCCAGTCACTAGTGAGCATATGTTAATTAATATCAGAAGGGTTTTTTATGGATATTATAGTAATTTCAATAGTTGAGATCATGAGTCAATTGGAGCTATAGTATTGTAGTGAATGAGAATACAAATGAGGACAATCGAATGTATTTGATGATGTATACTACTTATATCTGTTGACATCAATAGTTTACGCCATAGTATATTTTCAATATCATTTACTTCAATGAATAAATTAATCTGTTATGTTTAGCATAGTCCATTTTAATGTAGTAATGTATTGAGTTCGATTCCTGGAGTGATCCACTCCGAAATGCAGTTATATCCATCTGACAAGTCAGAAATCAAAGGAAACGCGTGTCAAATTGGGTTCCATTACTAGTTACCATTCATCTTTGTTTAGAAAGCTTGTGACTCAAAATAATATCAAGGCAAACTGTATAGGATATACATATGCCTATAATAGAGAGAGAGAGAGAGAGATTGATCAATTATAAGCCTTAACAATAATAGGAAGATACAAGCAACACAATTATCATTATTATTCAATATATAGAATTCAAAGCACAAAATGTTTCATTGAGTTTCCATTTCTTATTTCTTGATCAATCCTAGCGGTAAATATTTAAGTAATCACCAGTTGAATGTGACCAATTTAGGAATTGACATCTGAATAATGCACACTCTTTTCAATGTATATTACCAGCAATCACGATATCTCTGATTGAGCTTTTTTTGTAAATTATACAATGAAAAGTTGTACACTTCTTAGAAACGCTAATTGAATCAATGAACCGATTAATAACCATATTGAAATATCTAGTTGCCAAGATCATGTAACCAACAGATATTCAAAATAGGCCGCCAATATCAAGTTTTGAAAAAAAAACAAGAAAAAAAACTATTTCTACACCATATGATCATCTAAATTAAGAGAGAGAGAGAAAGAGAGGGAGGGGGAGAGGGAGAGAGTAGGAATGTGTTACAATACAATTCATACAAAATACTTTGGTTTTTTTTTGTGTTTGTTTTTTGGAAGTAAAACTAAATCCATGTGAATTATACTTGATCCGATCACATTACATTTTTGAGAAAAAAAATCTTTCAGTTGTTGTTGTGTTTTTTTTTCGTTTTTTTTTTACCGACAGAAACAACTGCCTTAATTTAGTAGTATAGAAAAGATAAACTGAAATTGATCTACTTTCTCCTCCCTCCCTCCCCGCCCTCTCTCTCTCTTCCATTTGTTTATTGTTACTATGATTATTATGATTATGATTGTAAACAGTGAATTGACAACAATTGAATGACATTCATATCCGAGTATCATGTGATCAATAGATTTACTAACGTCTTTTTGTTATTGTTGTTGTACAGATCAACTTAGTGATTAGTATATAATATATATATAACTCTAATGTGTTATTTGCTTTCATTGTTAACTTCCATACGATAGACTCAGAGTAGACTGATTCACGGAGATTCTAAGAGGAAAGAAACCCACACACTGAGATATACAAAACATGAACATTGTTACTTCGAAATTTATTTATATCTTTGCTATTCTCTTATCATTTAGTCTTTATATTGAATATACAAGTAAGTTATTGTTGATTCTTATTTAATAGTTCAATTCATGAGTTGATTCAAACAAAACTATCATGGAAAACTTGGAAGTATTGGATAGTTGTTTTGTCTTAGTATAAAACTTCTCAATAATGCACATTCATGATTTTGCCCATGGGATTAGAATATAGGATCTTTGATCTTGAGCATGTGAACACCTAATTTCTAGATTACTAAACCGATGATTCTAACCAATCCACTGTCCACAGTTGTTTTCAGTGTGTTACTATCTTACAAGAAACCTGGTTGAAATCCATTGGTTACAGCTTTTCACTAGAACCCCAGGAAATACCTCCTGTTTAGGAGTTCCATACTAGAACGAAACATTCATTCAATTGTTTATGGTTTTCCATGGTGGTCTAGCTTTATTCAGCTCGTGAATTCAACTAATAAAATTGCTACAATCTCCACAAAACATTCTTCCTGATATAAGGTATAAGTAGAAGTAAAGTGTAAACAGCATTTCGGTCAAGCTTGTTATTTAGATAAACTACAGTTTAATTTTATGCTTACCATCATTAACTGATCTTAGACTAATCACTGACAGTAATTAAGATATAACCTGAGATCAGTCCTTACTGATAGAATCGGAATCAACTAGATTAACTAAACTAGAAATGTTGAGTAAAAGAATGTGAAACCTCATCACACTGAATAATAAGCTAATATTACCAGGATAGGTTTATGGTTGAGAACACTTCTACATGAAGTTTATACTGATGATGATGATATCATTCAGAAAACGAATGAAATCTCCATGATCAAACCATCCATCTCAGAGAACAAATCTCTTTTTAAAATACACAAAAAACCGGAGGGGGGGGGGCGGAATTTCAATGTTCGTATGGTTAAAACTTCAATAGATTCTTTGTTTCACACTTTTGTACAACATCACAAAAGTCAAGTTGAGATCAATCTTATGATCTGTTTCAACTATGTATGTTTAACAATAGAGAATGTATTGAACTAGTATATTATCATATAGGAATTCATCTAGTAAAGATTTTATAAAAGTCTATCTTATTTCTTACAACGTTATTATCAACACATCTCTTATAGGCGCTGGGAGTATCTTTGGTGATGGTAAGTTGTAATGTGAACCCTTTTTTGTTTCTTTTAAAAATTATGAAAAACTATGACAGTGAATAATCACTAAGCTGAAGACAACTCGAGTTATTTGTTATTAAATATGTCATTTGAAGATATTTAATCCATTGTATTTTACATCTTTTATGATTTTGTTTCAATCTAGTCAATTTACTTTTGATAGGCATTCGACTTCTGATCGGTATTATATATATTACTTATATCTGATGACAACAGTAGTATACACCACACTTGTCCCCTCTTTAAAGTAGTTGTCCTTGTGGTGGTGCTGATCGCCATGCCGATTTCTTCTTTTATGCAGTCTGCGTCGCGCTCTTCGTCGAAATGCGGTGCATTGGCCTACATAACCCCATCGACTTGTTGGGCTATCAAAATACGACATACACCCAGCACCTGGGATGTTCAACGTCTGTGCACCAGCAACCCGGTGAGCCATCTACATCAAATGTCTGCCCAGCAGCTGTAAGTCTCACCATTCCTCCCCGTCTACAGCATCCGTCACAGAATACGCCACCTCACTCGAACACTTCACTCGACGCTATCTTTCCGTACCAGACTGCTACAACTGGGCATCTCAGCTCCAGCTCTGCAATGATGTCCTCAGGACGGCACACTCCCTCCCTCCTAGTCGGCAGCGACATCAAATGTAGTAAACGAGAATACAAGTGTGGATGATCGAATGCATTTCAACACGAAATTACAGAATCGCTTAGTAAAATCTCAGAACCATACAGTAAATACTTCATTTGTAAAATGTCCATCAATCGTCTCAAACTTAACTATTCCTTCATTTCCACACTAACCACCGTCTGTGTTCTCGTTCTCTTTTCTTCGATCTTTCTTAATCTTCTGCCACCAGACATTTCACTCTCGATTGATGATACATACTACTTATATCTATCGATATCAGTTGCACATACTATACCTTCACATCATATTTGAGGAACCCTTGAATAGATTATTCTTGAGTCTACTAATAATATCTGATAAGATTTAATGACTAATATGTGATTATACTGTTTCCTTCTCAAAAAAGATACAACTAACACAAGTGAGTTTTATTATTTTTATGTGTGACATTGCTTTTCAACAGATTAGTTACAACTTATCATTACATCATGTTGGATCATTCAAAACAGTCTATAATCCTTCATTATAATATGTTAGAATGTCTATTATGTTAAGTTTCCTTAACTACTGAAATTCAACATTCAATACTACTAATAATACAGATTAGTCATTATCGTTTATGAGAAACACTTATTGAGTTGCCAGATTGGACAGGTTCAATATAACCACCTTTAAAGAACTAATTTATTGTTTCACAAATCGTAAATGTACTGTTTTTCTGTTCATCAGCTCCGAAGATGAGTAAGTGTTTATGTTTTTGTTTCTCTATTCATTGCTTGATAAACTTTCAATATGGGGCAACTAAAACCATAATACATTGAATGACTTCATTAGGAAACTTCCATCAATTGTCTTTCACATTCTGTATGATTCTTCTAAGTCACAATTCTTTCGTATATCGGTTTCTGTTTTCTTCAAGTCGATCATTATAGCTTTCTTCTTTCGAGTTTTCCACTTCTGATTGGTATTACATACTACTTATGTCTGTCGGAATAAGTAGTATAAACCATGAACTTATTTATTGAAATACCTAGTTGTTTGTAATCAATGTTCAGTTATTGTATTTTTGGTTTAAATATCATTTTCACTATGATAATTAGCTTAGAATGATTACAATTAAACTTATAATCAGTAATTTCAATACTTATTGTTTGATATATACTTACTTAGTTACTTACGCCTATCACCCCTCGTAGAGGAGCATAGGCTGCTCACCAGCATTCATTATCCAACTCTATCCTCGACAATCCTTTGAAGTTGCTATTCATTCTATTTATGTCTGTATCCAATTCCCAATGTAGTGTGTTCTTCAGCTCTACTCTTCTCAGTTTCCCTTCAGGATTCCAAGTTAGCACTTGACTCATGATACAGTTTTGGTGATTTCTGTAATGTATATCCTATTCACTTCTAATGTCTTTTTCTGATTGTCTTCACAGTTCGAAGCTGGTTTGTTCTGTCTCACTCTAATCTATAGCCGACAATTATATAACATTACTTTAATAAGTAATAATTTTGACGGTTTCTTTCTTGAAGTTCTTGAAGTTCTATATAACTCTAATCATATCTTAAATGTTTTTTTTGTTATTTCTATTCTCTGTTGAATTATTTGAAATAAGCAACAACAAGTGAGTGTAATTACAGAGTTTCTTGATTAGTTTAAAAGAAAATGTAACTGAAAAGTATCAATATAGTTTTCCTTTTCTTTTAATGAAATCATTCCTCATGTGTAATCCATGTAAACATGTAATACTTACTTACTTACTTACCTTACATTAGTATAAAGAGGCACCGAATAGATATGCACCACACTGAAAGGGATAGAATACAGTACAGGTGATTAAACCGAAGCAGGTGGTTTTCTTAAGAGGCCACTCCCTAAGAAGGTGCAATCCCATGGTAGATAGTGACCAACAATAGATTTATACACTATTTGTTCTTTCAGGATTCTGGAGACGATGTACACCATTGGTTTGGAATAATGGATTTTCAACTCTTCTAGATAGATCCGCCGTATCCACCTAACACGGCTAAAGCACCGGACATTCACTATTCGTCCTCTTAATTTTCTAAACACAACTTCCAACACGAGAATAGAGTGATAAGGACTTCCCTGACAATGGCTATATACTGGTGGGAAGTTACAAAAGGAACTACGTGTATAAAAGATACATTTTAGTTATAAAGACACAGTGTAGTACAGGAGGATAAACATGAGGGAATTTTGTGGATATTATAGTATTTATTCGCTGAATTCATGAATAAATTAAAGCTAGACCACCACGGAAAACCTGAAATGTACACTGCTGAGGAGTCCTATACTAGGACGAAATGGTTGTCCAGTGCTTCCAGGTTTTCCATGATAATTGACTCATGAACTCGATTATTAAATTATTCACTGAAAGAAAATCATTTAAAAATAGCATCTTTAGAGCTTCTACTCAACAATGTAAATCATAGTTTTTTCCGGAATTCTTCTAGATACGACAGAAAACATATTTTCTTGCTTTTATTACATTAGTACTTACTTACTTACGCCTGTTACTCCTGGTGGAGGAGTACTTACTATCAACTAAATAAATTTATATTGAGTGTAATGCAAAATGGGCGGCCTATGCTCCTCCATGAAGAGTAACAAGCGTAAGCAAGTAAGTAAGTAATTCAAAGTAATCTGCATTATGAAACTAATTGATCTTATTATCAATAAAATAATTCTTTAAAGCACCAAAAAGACCTATGTCTGGTGAGTTAACTTCTGCATGTATTCTACCAAAACTCGCTTTGTTTCTATTTTCACCCAGTATAAATTGGAACACATAAAAGAGCATATGCTCACTAGTAACTGGCTTCAAGAGATATATCCTGGAGTTCTAGTGAGAAGCAGTGAAAAGTGAAGTTCAACCGGGTCTGTTGTGAGGTAGTAACTCACTGAAAACAATGTTGGATGTGTCGCTCAACTTCGTGGATTAGTTGAAATTAGACATTAACACTGTTAGATGCCAGTTGGCTCAGTAGTCTAGTGGTTAAGTGTTTGCACGCGAGACTGATAGGTCCTGTGTTTGAATCTCGCTAGGCGGTATCGTGGATGCGCACTGCTGAGGAGTGCTATATTAGGATGAAACGGCCGTCTAGTGCTTCCATATTCTTCATGGTGGCTTAGCTAAGGTTGACTCATGATCTCAATTATTGCAATTACATAAGAGTTCCTTAATAGAATCAAAACAAACAGTGAAGTAAAATATGGATGAACGTATATCACTTTGGTTTTATCACTGATGAAAGATGTCGAAACAAACTGAAAATAAAATGAATGGGTATTATTGTAGATTGATTTTATTTGTATGCTGTGCTCGTTAGAGTTTGATCTCAGTCAGAGTAAAATTGGAAAACAGAGATCAGTGAACAGTCATTTTGTCTTAAGATAAGACTATAAAGAAGTGCTTACCAAAGTTACCTACACAAATCGTAACCAGTCAATAGATGTCATTAAAACCATTGGATCATCTTAACTTGATACTTTCACTTTCCGACTTATCCGAACTTCATCAGTCACAAACTCTAGCCATAAGCTGAAGAATATTTTCGATTGGATCAGTGATACGCTAATAAATATAGTTTAAGTGAGGAGATATTATGAGATCAGGCCACCTGAACGATCGTCCAGATGTACCACCAAGAGCTACATATTACAATGGAATAGATATCTTGTGTTCCTTGCTATTCATTCATCCGAACCTCATCTAAGATTAATCTTCAACTATTACAAATGATAATAATTTTAAACATTTAAAACAATCGTTGACTTATCATGTTTGATTATTATCTTCAGGTGCTACTACGGAGAAGGCATATTACACTGTAATCGGTTCTGTCCTGATTGCAATTGCAGTATGCCGGTATTCAATCTAATAATATTATGTTTCAAATGAGAAGATGAAGACGATGATGATGATGATGATGATGATGAAGACTAATACCCATTTGAAAACATTAGAATTCTTTAGAACGGTTTCTTTTCATTGATGATTAATGAAATATGTTTTGATTTGATAATAATAATCTTTTATGAATTAAACTTATTTTAGTTTGATGATCATTATCAATTATCTTACATTTCATTGTATGATGACATTTCATATTAGAAGGCTGCATGTTCTTATCATGTCGGGCTAAGCATTTGTCCTCAATTGCCTTGATATGGCCGAGAGGGAAGAGAGTTCATGGCGAAACTATAATTTTTGGATGATCCAACCAGATATAAGATAAAAGGTCTTGGATTTTGGCACGAAATTGATTCATCCATTTGGTTAAAGAGAGTTTTCGAAATTTTAGCTGATGTCAGTTCGTGATGAAAACCACAAATCTAATTCCTAACCCTTAACCATCAACAGTAAATCTTAATTCTAGTTCCTCATCATGGTTTATAACCCTTATAGGTCCTAGTTAGTATGTGAATGTTCTCAAGAACAACTTAACGTCGCTCAAAAGTCGTCCATAAATAACAGTCTCACCGAGTCCGCCCTCCCCGTCGAAATGCTCTTATATCGTCACGGGTATACGGCCACTTGCAAGGAAGTCCTACTCACCGCCTTAGCGTGGTAGGGGTGTTGCTTACGAAATTGAGAGGACGAAAAGGGAATATCCGGTGATTTAACTAGGTTGGTAAATACAGAGGATTCATCTAAAGGAGTTGGAAAACCATCATTCCAAACCAGTAGTGTACATGGACTTCAGGATTCTGAAGAAACAAATAGCGTATGAACCTATTGTTGGTTACCGGTTACCATAATACTGCACTTCTTTACGTTGCTTACAGTTATAATCTCCTTTCTATTTAATCCTAAAACCTATTAAAGAAATGGTAGATATACATAGTAAGATATCACAGTTTGTTTATCTATGACCGATACTGTGAGTGATTCATTAATATAGTAGTCAGTCTTAAGTGCTGTTAGAGGTATGAAAGCGGTTATCACTTCCCGGTTGCCCACATCGTGAAAGGGTTCTTCTGGAGGTACCTGAAAAGGAAATTGGATTAGAAGGGGTCTTAGTGACCTGAGAGCGTGGCCGCAGTGCTCAAGGGACAACTGCTTTAGGTCGGTCACACACGACCTTTTTATGGGTAATTTTTGTGTTAGCTCCGTACTTGTTGAGACCTTACCACCGGAGACAGATATTCGTGGGATAAGGCGAGGTGTACATTTTTAGGGTCGACCATTTCTAACCCCATCCCTCCTTGTGGGAAGGCAGCATCGCTGTCATGCTGGTTGTCTGAAGGAAACACCTTACTGCTGTCACACCTCTGTACAGTCAGCAGTACGACTTCGCCTTCGAACCTTAGGTTTGTTGCTTTTAGTCTTACCGCTCTTCAACCGACCTGTCTGACATGGTAGGACCTTAAGGAACGGTTGTTCCAGCTAGTATAGCTCGATCGCTTCATCACGATAGGCAAGCCCGACCATCACATCAAGGATGATTCGCGCTCCTTTGACTGACAAAAAGAGCAACACTTGAATAGATAAAGAATACAAATTTTTCATGATAACATTATATATAGTCTCATATATTGACACACATTACCCAGATCGCTATTGAAAAGTTTACATAATTGTGCAATGTCATCCAACTGAATATATACAATCCATTTGATTAATTACCTACAAACCACCGTTAAACATATTCAGTGTGACTAATACATATAGTTGTGAATACATACATTTTTTTCAAATTACTTTTATAAGAACTCGTTCTTTTTGTATTAAACATTTATAAAAGGTTAATTACTCACTTACTTATTTACGCTTGTTACCCCCCAATGGAGCATAGGCCACTGACCAACATTCTCCAAACCACTCTGTCCTTCGCCTTCCTTTCTAGTTTTATTCAGTTGCTGTTCATTTTTCTCACGTCTGTCTCCATTTCTCCGCTTAATGTGTTCTTTGGTCTTTCTCTTCTTCTTTGGCATTGAGGATTCCATGTGAGGTCTTGCCTTGTGACTCAGTTAGGTGGTTTCCTCGGCATGCGTTCTATCCAATACCAGCACTTCTTGATGATCTCTTCCTCCACTCGAATCTGATTTGTTCTCTCCCATAGTAGATTGTTGTTGATAGTGTCTGGCCAACAGATCCGAAGTATTTCGCGTAGACCACTGTTAATAAACACTTGTATCTTCTGGATGACGGTTTTCAGCGTTCTCCAAGTTTCCGCCCCATGCAGTAGAATTCTCTTGGCATTTGTATTGAAAATTCTGACATTGGTGTTGGTTGGCAGTTGTTTTGACTTCCAGACGTTCTTCAATTGTAGACAGACTGCTCTTGCTTTGGCATCTTTCTAAGCAATATTTACAAATCTGTGAAACAGATCACTCAAGCGCTTGAGCAACCAACCACAATATTTCCTAAAAGAGGTACCATTTAATAAATTCATAGGCTAAAGATAATGTGAATGCAACATAGACTCTATAAACGAACACATCAGTGATGTTAATGAATACTATTTATCATGGATCTAGCAAAACTATCTAGAATAATCTAATAGTTGAATTCATGAGTCAGTTGAAGCTAGACCACTATGATTCATGAATTCAACTATTAAATTACTATAATATCCACAAACACCCTTCCCTGATTATAATCATCATATGCTCACTAGGGACTGTCTCCATGAGGTATTTCCTGGAGTTCTCGTGCGAAGCAGTGACCAGTGGAGTTCAACCGTGTCTGTTGTTAGATAGTAACTCACTGAAGACAATGGTGGACAGTGGCACAATTTCGTAGATCAATTGAAGTTAGACATTAACACCGTCGGATACTAGCCGGCTCAGTGGTCTAGTGGTTAAGCGTTTGCGCTCGAGTCCGAAATGTTCTGGGTTCGGATCTCGCGAAGCACGACCGTGTATGCGCACTATTGAGCGGTCCCATACTAGGACGAAACGCCCTTCAAGGTTTTCCATGTTGGCCTAGCTTCAATTGACTCATGAGTTCAACTATTAAATTACTATAATATTCACAAGAACCCTTCTCTGTTCGTACGTAGAATAAGCTTTAGTTATGAAAGAGTTCAAGTGAATTTATCCGATTTTCTGTAACTGTTGATATTCTAGTTGAAAGTATAGATCTCTTGTAAAATAATGAATAACTATTGACGGAGTATATCGTTTATGGCGATTACGGCCCCTTACTTGAATATCTGAATATCATCAATCTCATAGGTAAAGTCAAATTATTCAGCCTCAACATTCAGTGAGATTCCTGAACAATCAACTTGCTAGTTTGAGTATGGATAAATGATGACACACGCATCCATAAAGCAAATCATAAATAGAACAAAATACACAATCTGTATTCCACTATCAATCACAATTCAAAGATATAATTCCATCGATTTGTCCAAGAACTATTCACAACAACTTCTTATTCTATTATTACGTCACTCTCAGTAAAGCATAGGCCGCCGATCAGTATTCTTCAACCCACTCTGTCCTGAGCATTTCTTTCTAGTTTTGTCCAATTGTTGTTCACTCTTCTCATGCCTGTCTCCATTTCTTGGTGTAATGTCTTCTCCACCTGGAGCCCCTTTGGGGCTACTGCCGGTTCCAAGTCTGGAAAAAGAGGAAAGTTGGGCATGGGGTTAGTGACCCCATCTGGCATAAAACTAATTCGCTAAAAAATGCTAACCAGGAAAAATAATTCCAGCCATTTAAACTCCGCCCTGACAGTTAGAACGTCTTCATTTAGAAGAGTTATGAGGTCTCATAATAAAAGCCGAGTTCCTTATTTCATTGCTTCACATTAAAACTGATGATCAAGATCTTTTTTAATGAAAGTTACATGTTTATTCTAAATGACTGTAGTTTAAGTATAAACCGTAACGTTTGTTTAATGAAAGTTAACACGTAAACGTTTGGTTTATCAAATGTCTAGTTGTCAAGTCAGTTCACAATTTGAAAATTGGATAGCACTGTATTTAGTGTTATTGAAGTGAACGAGAAGACCAGTCAGGGACAGTCAAATGTATTTCAACACGAAATTACAGAATATCTTAGTGAAATCTCAGAACCATACAGTAAACACTTCATTTGTAAAATGTCAATCAATCGTCTAAGACTCTATGGTTCCTTCATTTACACACCAAGCATTCTCTGTTTTCGTTTTCTTCTATTTGATCTTCTTAACCTTCTACATCCAGATATTTCACTTTCGATCGATGATACATACTACTTATATCTGTCCATATCAGTAGCACTCACCACACTTGTCCCCTGTTTAGAGGAGCTGTTCTTGCAGTGGCGCTGATCACCGTGCCAATTTTTTCTTTTATGCAGTCTGTACCACACTCTCCGTCAAAATGTCGAGTTTACAGCACGTTGACCTACATAGCTCCATCGACTTATTGGGCAATCTCCACAACCCTATACTGATTCTATGAGTAATAGATCTTTCTTCTCTATTTTTAATGCAATATTTAGGCTGAATATTATTATAATTATGACAAATACAATAACTATCCACTGTGTGTATTGCTTATCACAGAAATAGACAAACAGTGGTCATTATGAAGGCTATGAATATTACTGAATGTTATTGAGATCACGAGCTGACGTAATCTAGACAACATTCAAAAACCATGTTGCACTGTATTACTCCTTACTAGTATACATTCAAAACATAATCACAGTTGATCAAACCTAGAATCTTTTGTTTCACATCCACACACCTATTCTCTAGATCACTGAACCATAAAAAACCCAACAGTGTATTTCAATCTATTCATAGTACTGAGTGACTATCTTCCATTGTTTTTCGTGGTTACCTTTCTCACACTAAATATGATTAACCTTTACAAGTCATAGCTTCTTACTACAACCTCAGAAATCTCCTCTCGGAGCTATTGACTAGTGTACATATTCT